AGGGGAGGGGGGTGATTTTGCTCCAGGTCGGGGCGACCCCTCCCTCCCCCGCCTAGGCGGCCCCTTTCTTATCGACAGTGCCGACACACGGATTGCATGATGAGGGGAAAAAATAATAGAAGAAGAAGAGGGGAACGGGATTAAATTACGAGGGATTTTTTTTTCTAAATTTTTATTTTATACGGCCAGTTTGTTCGTGTATTGCTGTACAGGAAGATGAAGTGGACTCTCCTGATACCATCTCCCACATTGTCGTCATCTTCTATCAGGCACGTTGAGCGTTGAGAGCGACGATATTTTAAGAAGGTAGCCTCGGATAGCCTTTATAGATGATTCCTAGGCAAGAGCAGGAGGAGTACTGTTTTGACCAGTGCACCTCGATTGTTTGTTTTTACCTTAATTCTGCAAACTTTTAGGGTACCTAGCCTATGCATATCCCAAAACCACTTAACACATGGTAATGACAATCCAAAGATGACGTTGCTAAGTCACCGTAAGCATCGTTTGTACAAATACGACCCACGTCGCTTCACCTTCTATCGTCTTGTCCCCTCCATTCCCCTCCGCAACCCAATACTACCGGCCTTACCGGCGGAAAAGGGCCCGGCTATGGGAGAGGTTTGGATAAGAGTGTACACACACGCACACACACACAAACACAACACACCTTCCACGGGCGCACTCACGTTTGTTTAGAGTACCGCTATGTCTCGTTGCTGGACCGGATGGCCCTCTCTGCACCCAAAGGGCCCTGCTGCAGCACCCTCTGCGTGTGTGTGAGTGTGTGTATGTGTGTGATCGGGGAGGGGGACCCCATATGGCACCCCGCTGCACCGATCGGGAAGGGAATGAGAGGAGTCGAATTGCAGCATCAGAGGGCGGCGTTGGTGTGGAGCAGGTGGGCGGTCGCCACCTGGCCTCCTCGGAGAGCAGCCTGTGGGAGCCGACGGCAGAGGGGGAGGATGAGAACGAGGATGAGGGGGAGCGATTGAAACAAATCAGGCGGGGGCGATAGGTAAGAGGGTGTGCTGTGTGTGTGTGTGGGAAGGCGGAAGTTTCTGCCGGCTTTGTCGTGTCGCGATGGGTTTTTGGCGAAAACGGGATCTCTAAAGTGAGCAAAAAGCGCGTGAGAACCATCGCATGTAAAAGGGGGGGGGGCGTAAGCAGATATTGAAGACGGTATCGAAAAGATGTTTTGTTGCGTTGCAGCAGCGATAGCGACATGTCGGATGCATATATAACGGGATCGTTGCGCGATCGTTTTGACAGCAACTCCTCCTCATGTCAGGCCGAAGGGCGCTCCGTGCTCCGGCCCCGACTGTCCTCGTATATAGCGCAAACACATTTAAGCCGGTAATGTCCATATCCATATGCGTGTCCCATGTCCCGCCGCTGCCGTCCCGCCTCGATCAAGCGTCCCGACCGAGTCTTGGATGTTAAAAGTGCGTCGAGATGTTTATGGGGGGGATGACTGCCTCCTGCTGCTGCCCCGCCGCGCCCCGCCCGTACGTCCCGTTGCTCGCCGCAGGGCGCCCCGCCGGGGGCCCTGCAGCCTGAGCCCCTTTGTGGGGTGCACCGGCAGCACCAGGTACTTGTAAGCCTTGTACACCTCCAGGTACCTCCAGGGGAGGCCCTTCGAGGCCCTCCAGGTCCTCTCGCCGCGCGTACGACCGGTCGTAACTTAGTTAGATTGATGGCGCTGCGACACGGCTCCGACTCCCCAAAATAAATGTAAAAAATTGATTTTTGATTTGAGAAGTATGCTCTCAGTTTATATTTTGCCCTTTAAATAGTGAAATATTATCTTTCCTGGGATTTCTGGGCGCTTTCTCCAAGCTCTGGGCTTATTACTAACAAGTGCAAGTGTAAAGGTATCTTTCAACTCTTTCCTTATGTATGACATGTTTTGTCTTACTGAAGCTAAAGTGAGAGTGTCTCACTCTCCAATTATCGGTGAAAACTTTGATTCGCTTGTCGCGATAGTGACACGACGGAATATAATATTATCGTGCGAATAATAATAAGAACAACAGACAGACCGGGCCGGGCCCTCACTCATGATCGTGATGCTTATCTCGACGTGACTGGACTGCGGGGAGGAGCGGGCGGGAGGGAGGCACCTCCAGCTGAGCTGGAGAAAGGTGAGAGAGGGAGAGACAGAGGGAAAGAGAGAGGAGCAGAAGACATCGGCATTGAGAAATAAAACAAGGCCGCCCTGGGCTTACCAGAGAACGATGGAGCCGGAGAAAGAGAGACAGGGAGAGGGAGAGAGAGAAAGAGAGCGAGAGAGAGAGGACGGGGAGAAAGGGGGAGGGGCACCCCGAACGGGCGTACCGTTATCCAATGAAGGCAACAGCCGGGCGCTGCGCCGGGCCGGCACGGCATACGGCTGGGGATGAGAGGAGGAAGAAGGACTCCTCCCAATAAAAAATAAAAATGAAAAGGAATTCGTGAAAAAACGAACAAGTAAAACTAAAACCGGGAGGGCGGTGTGAAGTTGAAGGTGGGTAATACCTGCCCGGCCGTGGGGG